TACTTTTAAACCGCCCCCTGCCACGGTTTTTCTTATTTGTCATCTGTGATCCCTTTTGAGTGTCCTAAAAACTGACGGGGGGGTGGGGTCTTATCACTCAACATACCCAGTTAAAAAAAGTCACCGCTCGCCACTGAGATATATATATATATATATATATATTATATTTATTATATTAAACTCACGCTTCAAGTTCCTGCTTCATTTTGGCATATTCCTCCTTTGTCATGCTCGATTCCCCCTCTCCCAATTTATGCATCTTCTCCCGGGGACCCTCAAAGTCAGGTTTTGGTGGAGCAGGAGGGATCTAAGAAATATTGTAAAAGCAAGACAATTTCATTCAATATAAGACTTTTTGGCTATTCCAACAGTCTACAATGCAGACTGAAGGTCAGTAGAGAAACTTTGTGGCTTTCATGTTGGCCGACAGAATGCCTGTTGCTGATGAGGAGCTTTCATAAATATAGACAATATGAATATGGGGTTAAACTTACAATGAGGCCAGCATATTCCTCAGTCTCCACAATTGTGTCATGAAGCCAGATGAAATCTTCATGCTGTCGTTGCACAGAATATTCCGGCTTCTGAAAGGAACTAAGTGTGGTCTGAGAGGAAGTGAAGAGCAAATCGACACTACGAGTCAAAGACGTACTGTCCTCCAATACTACAGATCATGGTAAGTTACACTAAGATATACATGAATGCGTGCAAGCTATTGACTTATTCGAATGACTATAAATTTGATCTGTTGGCTCACCTTGGTGTGGACGGTAAATTTGACTTTGTCACGTTCACAGAGGGCATCAGGGATATCAATGACGAGAGATGCATCATTGTTCAAGTCGACTGATACAGAGTGCACCTATATAAAACATGATTTGTTAAATTTTGTTACAAATCAGGAAGACGCATTCAAACAAGGACTGAGAACTAAAGGTATCATGTCACATAGAGTCTGTCGTTTGAACAGTTTTGGGGGGAAAAAACTTACAAAAATATTTTATTTCACAGTCTATGCTTATGAACTCAGGTTCATGAGCTCAATTAAAAAAACATGCAAGTAAAGAAAACTTATTTAGCCACCTATCCTATCCCACAAACAGTTTGGAAAAGAGTTCAGAAAAAGCAGAGAAATTTACACAAATAATTTCTACAGAAAACAGACTACAGCAAATACAATACAACTACAACAGCTGTACGGACCTGTCATAAGATCCAGACCGCCTTCAAAACAGCCCAAAGTACCTAAAAACCTGCATCCACTGTTAAATGAGGCCAAAGGTCAGTCGGAGTATGTGCCGGGACCTTTGGCTCGTATAAAATTACAGAGGGACTCTAATAAAACATCTATACCCAGTGTGACCCGGATCCTCCAGAAGACCATGCCACCTGACCAAGCCTTTTACCTGGAAAGGTGGAAGAGAAGGATGATTGCTGAACTCGGAGAGGAAGGGTTTCAAGAATACAGCTCGAGTAAGAATAGTCAATTTTCTTTCATTATTGCTTTTTAAAAGAATTACACCTTCTAATTCATCTGTGTTGTTTTAGACATTTTCAGACAAGGAAAGCTGTTCCATGCTGCCATTGAGGACACTTTCACCCAGGAAACCCCTTCTAAGGAGGACCATGAGTGTCCAGCAGAGGTGTCTGGGTATATAGAGAGTGTATCTAATGTGTTGAATGATATAACAGGAGTGAGAGCTATTGAGAGTGCTGTGAATCATTCTGCATTACGGTACCTTGGTATTGTAGATTGCGTTGCCCAATACAGGTGAGATTCATTTTGTTAAATCAAAGAGTCATATGTATAATAATTTATAATCATTACACAACATGCACTTTTTTTAATGTAGATGAATTTACATGTTGCTCATGTTGAATTTTAAGTCTTATCTGCTTTCATACAGAGGTTCATTGTGTGTCATTGACTGGAAGACCTCAGAGAAGCCTAAGCCCTCCCTTCGCCATACTTATGATAATCCATTACAAGTAGCTGCATACATTGGAGCTTTGAACAGTGACCACATCTACAACTACCAGGTAAACAGCACTATGACACCTTTTACACCTGGTATTAAGATCTGAAGTATACATAATCTACTGTACAAATGTTTAGGGTCCGCAAGATGAAATTAATACTTTTATTCAGCAAGTATGCATTAAATTGATCAAATATGACAGTAAATAAATACATTTGTTACAAAAGATTTATAAGATTTATTACGTTTTTTTGAACATCAGGTTCATCAAATAATCTTGAAAAAAAATCCATCACTGTTTCACAGAAATATGAAGCAGCACAACTGTTTTCAATATTGATAATAAGAAATGTTTCTTGAGCACCAAATCAGCATATCAGGATGATTTCAGAAGGATCATGTGACACTGAAGACTGAAGTAATGGCTGCTGAAATTTCAACATTACTATTACAAAAATAAATTACATTTCAAAATTATATTACAATAGTTTTTAAATTGTAATATTTGACACTATTACTGTTTTGCTGTATTTTAAAATCTCACCGACCTAAACTTTTGAATGGTAATATATGTAGTCATGAAATGGCTGTCCTCAAAACCTGTTCATTATAAGTGGTCACATGTTAATATCTGGTGGATACATTTTTGTCTGTGATAAACCTGGCATTGTATATAACGAATATTGTTGGCTCCTAGACAAAGTGTTTTTGTTCCTCTTTTGTAAGTTGCTTTGGATAAAAGCATCTGCTAAATGCATACATGTATTTTCCATTTAAGTCTTCCATCTAATGTCATTTATGTACAGGTAGAAAATGGCTTAATTGTGGTGGCCTACAAAGATGGATCACCCGCACATACTCACTTCCTGAACTCAGAGAAGATTATGCCATTCTGGGAGAAATGGCTACTTCGACTAGAAGAATATGCAGAAAAATAAAACACCTTTAACTAGTATAACAAATCTAACTGATTCTACACAATGTGTAATTCAACTGTATATGTTTTACATTTGATGCAAAGAATAAACGGTTATGTTTTACACATTTTATTTATGGAACGAGTTATTCATAATTAAAAATAACTTCTTCTTTTTTTGATGGGGGGGCCTTGTTACATAATCCTACATAGCATCTCAGACAGGAGCTAAACAATTGCGATTGGCTGCCCTGATGGGACCCAGTTACAAATCATTAAAGACAAACCAGGCTGCCCTATAATCTGGTTCTTCTGCGAAGCCCAGGCTTGTGAAGAGGCTGTAGGATAAATGGTTCTCTTCTTCTATAAAACAGTATACCGTATAACCCTGAGAGTGGAGTGTCTTTGACATAACGGCGATCAATGCTTTTGCATAGCCCTTTCCTCTGTGTTCTGGAAGTGTGTACAGCATTCCCAGTGCACTGGAAGCATAATTTAATATCCATGCTACTGGTTGATCATCTGAGTCCAGGACACAACAAGAGGGGAAGTTCAAAATCATATTCTTAATCATTAGTTTGCTGTCTTCACAGCCAAACTTCCAGCTACGGTTGACTAGTGCAAGATGAGACTCATTGAGAGAAGACAGCTTCAGTGATGAACTGTGTGTAAAAAGAAGAAAAACAGAACGAATACAATAAGCATAAATTTTTTTTAATGAAATGAATACTATATTTTCTTAAATATTTAGTATTTTGAGATTTCATGGTATTAGACAATATTCACCTTTAAATTATGCAAAAATTCTATATGAAATACTACAAATATTAAAGTATTCTCTGGTTTCTTATGAGAGTATTTTCAGATGTAATTTTATTTGCATTATCAAAGACTACTTTATCATGGCTTTTTTGTAGACTGTACCTCAACATTTTTTTTATTTTTAAGACCATTTACAACTATGTAAATATGTCTGTTATTGTTTGTTCATACAGCAAACACCACAAAAAAAATTCTAAATGTAAAACACATAAAAAGACCACCAGAGGGTTAAAAGGTAAATACAATGATGACAACTGAACAGCACTTAGGTAAAATGTAACAAGGTTACATGTTTCAGTGCTTTTGGTCAGAGACATATTACTGCAATGTAGCTTGGCTTAAACTATGACCGGTCATACAGTTGTATGTCTGAAGTGTGACGTTAATGATTACAGTTGATATACTTCACCTATCAACCTGTGAAAGTTTTGATGGATCTCGAAGAACCAACATGTAGCACACAGCTTCTTTCTTCATAGGTACACCTCTGTTTATAGCCACAAATTCCAGCATCTTCTCATGATGAAGCTCAGCGGCTTGAGACAGTTTACAAAGGAACATGTGTTTGAGACATTAAAGATTTTCAGGGATTCACACTAATGAAAAAAAAAATTTACTTAACAAAAGAGAGATGCAAGTACCCAAGCAAATAAACATCTTCCAATCAATGACATCTGAATGTGCCAGCAGGTCTCTGAGGTAGATATCGTTTTTTGAAAACACAGTCGTGTCTTTGAAAAGGTCTCCCTTCTGTAAAAATAAATAAATAAATGGATTGTTGAACCTCTCATAAATCACAGTGAAACATTCAACCAGGCACTTATGTTTCGCAATATTCCTGATACCTCACGGAATTCAGGTTTAATAAGTAAAACTCTGAACTCTGGCCACTGGTCAGCAAGCACACTAACAGGATCAGCTCTCTGTCCATTTCTGTTGAGTTGGACAATGCATCCATATACCTGTATATTTCCAGGACAGAAAAAAGCGAGACAAAAATAAATGTTTTGCCTACAGAACATTAAAGCGTCACAAATAACTGACAATTAAGTAGCACGTAAAGCATTCTATTAATTTTAACGGTAGCAAACATGACCATTGCCAGGCGAGCTACTTTATTAGCTCAATGAACGCTTTCAAACCTGCAGCGACTGTGGAAAGTAGTTTTTAAGATCTACTTCCAGGGCCTTCAGATCTTCTGTAGTCAGCTGACGCATTGCGAGGTGTTTCCCTCACGTGTGTCGCTCGGCGTCAGCGGGTCTACTGTATAGCTAGCAGTGATTTAAAAGGCACTTATGTTTGAGACATTACCACTAAGTAGGCAGGCAGGGGTTTCAGGTTATTGCATGTAAAAAAAAATTTTTTTTTTAAGTCATCGTGCCACGCATGTACGTCTGGAATAGCGCCCCCAAGCAGAATCGTTTCCGGAACTTTTTTTTTAAACAATATTTATTTCAAATAGATATATCTTATTAAAACACCTGTAATTGAGAGATGCGCATGAGAAAAGGCTTTTTTTGCAAGGCAAAGTAAATATGCAGATAACAGCAATTTTAATAAACTATAAATTATAAAAAGATATGGCTTTCTCCACAAAATGGTAGCTGTGGAGTAAGGTGTACCCGAGGCCAGTTGCATAAACATAGTCACTATGTTAAGAATGTGTCTTAAGAGCTAGTTTGACCAACTAGCAGTTAGCCAAGAGATAATCAGTCTCTTTTCTGATTAACATTGGGCCAATCTTCATTTCAGTAACTGACTTTAAACAGTTATGACCAGTCTAGAAGAAAACAACTTATATGGCTAACTTTTTAAGACTATAGTCTTAGCAGTTTATGCAACCGGCCCGAGGTAGCCCTAACAAAGAGAATCTTTACAAAGAAAAATATGGATTTTCCCTACAAAATGATGTATTAAGATAGTACTGCAGCCAAACAAAGTTTGGCAACATTTTGTATTTCTGTGCAAGCATGATAGTATTGAGAATTATTCAATAGCATTGAAATATCACCTACTTATGGCTGGTATATAAATACCTTTGAGAAACAAATAATTTCTAGGTAAAATAAAATTATTAAATTTGTGTAATTGTTCTCCAGTTTCTCCGTTTACAGGTTGATGGTTTGACCTCTGATCCCATTCATATAACATTTTAAATTAAAGTTACAACACGTTGTCATCAAAATTGATTAAAAATGTTACATTTGTGCATAAAATAGAATTTTATATTTGAATTTACAAAACCTAAATCATCATGTAGTTAAGGTCATTATGAAACAAATTGTGATCGCCTTTATTTTCAATTGCGATATATACAGTGGGGAAAAAAAGTATTTAGTCAGCCACCAATTGTGCAAGAAACAGCTTCACAAACAAGAAAAAAAATGCTGGGCTTGAGGGGAGAGGAAGTTAATGTTTTTGATTAAAGATTACAAGGGCACATAAATTTAAAAAATAATAAATCAATTAAAATAAACACTGCAGTATTCCATTTTAAAAAAGAGAATTGTCCATTTTGATTTCATGATGACTTCCAAGGAGTTTTTTTTTGTCATCAAACAGGAGTATTGATGAGTATTCAGGCTAACAAATGAATTCATACCAGGCAGCCCTATAAGAGAGGTCCTCTGTAAAACCCAAGCTTTTAAAAAGTTTGTAGGAAAGCTGATTGCATTCTTCAATGAAACCGTACACAGGATAGCCCTGAGAATGGAGCTTCTTTGCCATTGTGGTGACCAGGGCTTTGGCATAGCCCTTCCCACGATGCTCTGGCTGAGTGTACAACATCCCCATGGCACAGTAATCATACAACAGCACCCAAGACACAGGCTGGTTGCTCTCATCTGTAATGCAGCATGTGGGGAAATGTCTGATGAGATTCAGGATGTTCCTGTAACCTTTGTCATCCCCTCCAAACTTCCAAGTCTTGTTAACTACATCAGCATGTGACTCATTGAGGACAGACACTCTGGACTCAAGGTCACTGATGAAGGAATCAAGAATATAAGGGAAAGTTTAAGCTTCTATTTAAATGCATCGCATTGTACAAACACAAACTGATATTTATCACTTATTTAAAAAGCTTAATAAGAGTTACCATCTTACCTGGTAATGAGCTCAGGTAAATAACTGGGCTCAGTTAATGTCATAAGGTGCACCAAGGAAAACCCTTTCATACCAACACCCCGAGAAGCAGCAATTTCCTTCAGCATTAGTGAATGACGAAGATCACATCCTAGAAATCAAAATAATCAGACGTTATTAAAATAACCAGAAGCCATATTAATAGTATAATATATAATAAAAACATTTTGGGGAAAAGCCATGCCTCCTATTAGGAAGTATGTGCTCCAGTCAATTGCATTTTCCACAGTCAACATTCTTCTCAGGACTTCTTCATCTGTGCTGTATAGAGTCACCTTCTTCATAAAGTCCTTTGCACGGTCATTCTAAAGATTTCAGACAACATTAGTGATATTGACATAACAGTGGTTAACTTGGACAACATTTTTAAGTAGTTACTAAAGAACATAATCTCACATTTGGATCTGGTCGAACAATGATATTGGTAAAAGCTGGCCACGTATCCACCAACACCTCCAAATGGTGTGGTTTCCCTCTGTTCATAGCGAAAACAAATCCATACACCTAAAAACCAACAGGTATTTGATTCAGTGCGTCTGTAAAAGCACATCAAGCGCGATAACTTACAGGGTTTGCTTCGAAATTAAACGAACGCAGGCTACTACTCACCTTTATGGATTTAGGCAGATGTGTATATAAAGTGGTCTCCGCTATTTTTAACTCATCTGAATTTAAAATTTTCATGTTTCAAAGTAAAACCAGTCGGTAAAACCTGTAGAGTGAATATATTTAGCAGGGAAAGAGATTAAATGTGTCCTATCCAGACCAGATTTAGAAGACGGAAGCTTGGTGAAATATGTAGGATAATATTTAACCTAGGATGAACGGACGTCCAGTTTTTTCCTGGAAAGCCCCGGTTTTTGATGTCCTGTTCCCAACCCGAGACGTCTTCGGAAATGTCCCCGTTTTACGCGTTCAAAAGACCCCGCACATACACTGCAAAAAGCCCGATCAACGTAGTCTGCTGGTTACCAGAGCAATCGTTTATTTTCACCAACAGAGGGCGCTACAAGCTACACTGATGACTTCATGGAACATGATACGTAGAACCCACAATTAAAAACAAAAACATACAAAAATGTATTATCCCAACTTTTTAATTCATAGATAATAACCAGTGTTGGGGAAAGTTACTTTTAAAAGTAATGCGTTACAATATTGCGTTACTCCATAAAAAAGTAACTAATTACGTTACTTAGTTACTTTTTATGGAAAGTAATGCGTTATGTTACTTTTGCGTTACTTTTTAAATTTGGACAGGGCTTGCTTGTTTTTAAAATAAAATAAAAAAAAGTTATATTTTTGGCAAATATAAAAGCCTTTTCACACCAAAAGTGAAAATTAATAAGCCTCAGGCTGAAGGGAAAGTACATTTACGTCCGTACAGTAGAATGCAGAAGAAGACATTTCAACACACTTCAGCAATAAAAAAACACACAAATGTTTGTCTAGAGTAATTTTTGCTTGTTAGTACGGTTGAACTGGATCATCGAAGGTCAGAAGCAAAGACAACGGTTAATAGAATGGGATTAAATATATAAAGCATATTTGTGTTTAACATTTAATTATTGCAGGTTTGCGTCATATTCAGAGTTGCATTATTTTTATTCATTTTGAGGAATACTGAATCTGTGTTTTTTGTGAGTGAGATTAATTAATGCATATTCATATTTATTTTAGAACTACAGTAACATCATCTGATTTCTGTCACCATGGCAACACCAGAGCTGTCAATCAATAAAATGGGAAAAAAAGTAACTTGCGTTACTTATTTGAAAAAGTAACTCCGATATTCTCTTATAGATTAAAAAGTAATGCGTTACTTTACTAGTTACTTGGAAAAAGTAGTCTGATTACGTAACTCGCGTTACTTGTAATGCGTTACCCCCAACACTGATAATAACAAGTAAGGTTTCAATTATATTTTGACCACTGAACAAGAAAATGTCCCCGGTTTTAATTTCAGAAACCTTCTTCTGCTGTTTTTAGGTAATCTGAATACTGCAAACTGTACCAACTATGCTTTGATGAATTTAAAGTAAAATAATACTGCTTTATACTTTGCTTTACATTGCTGTAATGTCTGTCATTGCATTAGTAATTAATATTGAAATATGATTTTTTTTTTTTTCAATTGTAATGACAGAAAGAAAAATAATACAAAGTTCCAAACAAATACATCAGTTCTGGTAGCTCTTATTATACTGTTATTATAACAGACATTTTACTGTTGGATTATTGTTTTCTTTATGTTTATGTATACATACATAAAATAATACACAGGCCTACACTAACACAGCATTTTCTAGAATTTGTAACGCCAAGTCATTATGACTTCCATAATAAATGTAACCAAATAAACACAGCACACAGACATATTGTGTTCAACCATGTTTTAATAGTAAAGGATGAACTAATATAGAAACATGCGTTTTATCATTTAGAAATTCCTACAAATTGTAGCTTTTTTTCAGAGCAGTGGAGTCTAATGAGATTACATGATTATGTGTTAATGAAGCATTCTTTCATCATGACTTGTTGTTGACAGGTTTTCAGGACAAATAAAATGTCTATCTGATCAAGAATAAAGACTTAAAGTTCACCATTATTACCAACAGCAAGTACATTTTATTGCTGCTTGAATGTTGAAAAGCCCCAAACTGCACTGGTCACAAGCTCTACATGCAAGTGTTTTCAAGGACTTTAATGTTGTTCAACCATGGCTGGCTCCAGACCGTTATTTTGCACTGAGAGACCTTGAAGGGAAAGATAAAAATCGGTCAATCTCTTTTAACATGGAAATTTGAGAAATGTAAACAGATAATCACAATATTGTAAATTAGACAACGTGTATCTTACCTGTGCAACACTGGGATCCTCATGAATGCTGCACAGGGTCTCAACTCCACCCTTTCTGCAGTTGGTTCTGCCCACTTTCACAGTGAAGATGTATTTCAGGCCAGAGACAACCTGGAGCGTCAACCAGAAACATGTTCAGACATAGTTGGGCCAAGCCCGAGTTTAAAAACAAAAAACTGTCTGTCGCCCAAAATTTTTCTTAAAAGAAATGATTTAAGTTAGAGGCAGCCACTGTGTTACAAAGTCATGCTGGAGAAAGCCCTCTCTCTCTCTCTCTCCAAATTTCAATATTTATTGAACATGTCTAGCAAATCACATCTGAACAATCTTTTACTCTCTTACCTAGCATATAATATAATAGCTTTCAAGTGGAGGCAAACAATCTGTTTGTTCTCTTTGAACAACTGGGAACAATTTTATGGTTCTGAGATTTGAGATTACACAGAATTTTGAACAAATCTTTACATTAATTTACGGTTTTAACATAATTTTGGTCTCTTCATTATCCTAAGTACCTTTATCAGTTTCTCCAGTAACTACTCATTAGAGTAAGGTTAGATACTTAGTCCAACTATAACAACAGTGACAAGACTCTAATTTCATTTATACTAACAAATTTCAATGGTTTGCCATTAAATTCTATGGCATATGGTTACACTGAAAAAGATAATAGTCACTACTTGACTCTTAATTAAAAAACATACTTATAATGTACATAAAATAACGTCTTTTTAAGAAATGAATTCATCGAAACAGTGTGTCATACGTACACACCCCTCGGACTGCCAGTAACACTGATTACGCCGCGTCTTGCTCTAAACGGGCTCGTTATGTCATCGTTACTCATGTCATCGTGACAGCGCTCGAGGAGGAACTTTATCACTGGGTGCGATTCAGCGACGTTCCCAGTTCCACCGATTACAAACCGAATAAACGTTTAAACTACGTTACTCACTTGTTTTTGGACCTTGATGACCTCGGAAACCTGACGCACAAACGCATCGTTGCTTTGTCTGTTGTACTGGGCCACTGCGAACTGTAACGCATTCTGAACCCCTTCATCGTTCATGTCTGCATCCATAGGGGCTCCAGTCAACCCAGCGCTCGCCACGGCTAAAGTCACGGCCAAAAACGACACAATCATCTTAATATACATGCTTGAACGGGATTAATTGACTCGCCCTGATTTGTTCCTTCCTTATGTCGACAACCCAAAACTGCAACCAAATCTGAGATTATATAAACAAGCGTCACTCCCTGTAGCTCTGCGTGCAGGGGCGGGGCGTCGTGTCTCTACCAATCGGATTCAGGGAGAGGCAATGGATTTGGAAAAATTCATTGTTTTATCTTTTTTAATTTAAAGGGGTCATATGATGCTTTTTTAAAGATCATTATTTTGTGTATTTGGTGTAACAGAATATGTTGACATGCTTTAATGTAAAAAAAACAATTTTTTAAAAAATTCTGTACATTATTTTAAGTCCTCTATGCCCCGCCTCTCTCAAACGCTTCGTTTTCTACAAAGTCCCTCCTTCTGACAAGTGCAGTCTGCTCTGATTGGCCAGCTGACCCAGTGCATTGTGATTGACCGAACACCGCAAGCACTCGTCGGAAATGTAACGCCCCTTACCATAATCGCGAGCTTCATCTTTCAAAATAAATGTAAAGACAGAGCCCGAAAGGGGAACAGAGGCTCTGACAGACACAGTGATGAAGCTGGTATGTGTTTGCAGTACACAAGCCACGGTTAAGACAGCTGACTCCACTGTGATGTGTCTCGCTCTCTCTCTCTCTTGCTCGCTCGCGCGCGCACGCACGCACACACACACACACCTCTCTCGCGCGCGCACACACCTCTCGCGCGCGCACACACACACACACACACACACATGAGCAAAACTCTGCATTTGAACAGTCAATAGCAAATACTTAAACTAATAACAAAACAGTAGCTGATTCAGAAGCGCCA